CTACATGGAGCTATAATGAACTTCAACCAATTTCTTTGAACTAAATTTTTGTTATAAAGTGCTTTCGCTACAGTTGAGGAATAAGGTGATGGTGGTAGCATTTCTTATCATGGCAACACCTATCGGTGAAAACTAATGGATAGTACAATAGTTAAAGATCCTGGTGAATAAAATCCTGTCAAAGTTCGTACTTGAGCACAAAGTAACTCAATAGTTTTTGACCATTTCAAGGTGAATCATTTGCGGAAATAATCTTCCTTACTTTCTGCAAATTTCAGTTGTTACGCTCCAAGTAATAACATGAGAACATACTACAAATGACTAATCAATATTGACAAGAAAACCTGAATACTTTGATTTACATAAAATTGTTGAAACTAACCGACTGGAAGACACCAAGCAGTTTGCCAGAAACCGAGCACAGCTTTGACGATCACAGTTATCATTAATGAACCACGCAAGCAAACAGTCAGACGTCACAGAGCCACTAGAATGACGCACTTGAGCTCTCCACAGGACTGACATCAACGTATTCTCAATACTTATACATATCTGCAAGTTTTAAACTTTCAGCGTATGCAACAAAAACGGCATTCGAATTGTCCAGCTAAATAACTGCGCAACCGTAAGGGTAGTGCATCCTCTACAGGCAGAATAAATTTATGCCATAAAATTGACGACCACGTACGGATCATCTATTGCTATCATATTTGGTTAAATCCATTTGTTGATTAGATTTCCGGTGAATCAAGCTATTCGATTTTCAGCGGTCAGCAGGTCCATTTGTTTGAAGCTTACCGAAGTATGATCCATCCTCATTTTGACATTGTCCTATCGTAACCATTATTAAACCGTGTTGAACAGTTTAAGTTAGACTTTGCGGAAGTTTAAGTCTCGGTATTTTGCCGTTTGCAATCATTGTTTTAAATCCTTATAAAAATTTAGATATCATAGGTCTAATAGGATTCTCACCCATTTGTTAGTACATCTTTTATTAAGTGATCGGGACAGAAAGTATGCAATTATGTGATTATTCATAAACTTGAATACAAATAAGCAAAACGATTAAAAAGACATACCTCCTCTTGTTTCAGTGCAGGTATTACTGATGCAAGCAAGGCCCATTTCTCTTTCAGAGTGTTCGGTAACAAGCATAACCACATAAATTGCTTCAATAAAATAAAAGTAATTAAAATATACAGGACAAAAGTTAAAAGAGAATGATTCATAATTCCTGAAGCAGTGAACTTCAAAGATTTTTATAAGGAATCATATCATGTCGAAAGTACCATAATCAAAACCTGATATGCTGTAACATCAAGTCTCCTCTGCAGCTTCAGTAGAGTTTTGAGAATTTTTAGATCAACACCTGATCGTTGCATGAATACACCACGAAAGCACTGTTTTATACATTGCTGCAATATTCTTTTTTTTTCTTGATCGTTCAGATCACCACAGTCGTAAGCAGCTTTAACTAAACGTTTTCCAACTATTCCATAAATACTTCTATCCAATATTTCGTCCTTTGAAATGAACCATTCTGCCATCTCCCTGAACTTAAGCGATTATTTCCATATTTGTAAATGATTCCAGGTTAAGGAATTGATATCATAATCAGTACACCCCAACAGATTGCTGAGATCGCAGGAGTGAAATAAGATTATATATATATATATATATATATTCGACGAAATTGAAAATGTATAAAAAACTAGCACATAGACAATTATGACGAATATCATATTAGAATATAAGGAAGTGAAAAGTGGAATGCAAGCTTTCAAAGTTCGGCAATTTTCGCGCTTTATGTAATGAGCCCACATGGGATTTCTTCGAGACCAAATAAAAAATCCAAGAAAAGCTACTAGAAGTGCTTTACATAATCTGTCATAAAAAAAAACCCACTATAAATTTTATTTACTACTTTATTTACTACAAACAAACATACCATAAAGATAGCCTAGAAACAGCTGTATGCAATAAAATACCATTTTTTCCACTGCGAATATCTATACAATCATCCACATCAATGTATGAATTTGTTGCGGCTTTTCGAGAAGAAACTTCCAACTGAAATTTAGTTTAAGTTGAATATGCAACTCAAAAATTTAAATTTGAAAGCTACACAAAGTCCAGCATAAGCACTTCACAAAGATGTGACAATAGAAGAGTCCGATGGATGCCAAAGCAAAGAAAATATTATAAGCGTGTCTCCTAAAAGTTTCAAGCAAATTGAAAAGATACAGGTTCATGATAGCAAAACTTAATTTGTGTATGGATTACGACTTGAGAAGCTTTTCAGTAAATCTGCCATCAATGCAGATAATCTAAATTATCCCGGTGAACAGAAAAGTAAAGCGACGTGAAGGGATCTTTATGATTCTTCATGATTCTCACTACCATGAGAGATGATTATCGCTACTTTTTATACTTGTTTTCAAAATAATTCATCGTACGAATGAAAAATATACAAAGGAAGGATTTTGGAATTGAAAAACTTATCGCCCAGAAACGTCAGCCAAATTCACAAATTTACTCAAGAATTACATATTTTAAAAACTGATTCATATCTATTCATTAGTTGCATGATCATAACATAATTTAAGATCACAAAAAATAATCTCTTCATTAGCTGAAAATCTCAAACACTCAAATATTGTAAGTATTCTAACTTAAATTCATGAAAATTCCAAAGAGATTATCAAAATTAGCATAAAATCATCACGCTTTCGTTAAATTCGTCGTTGAATAATTCGAAAATGTGTAGTCATTTATGGTTCAAAGATTAATTCAACATTTTTAATTCTTTGGAAAATATCAATTGCATTTAGTACTATTCAAAAAAATTTGAAATATACATTTCTACTTATCGTCCAAGAATAAAAGACTATTTTTTTTTGTAAAATAAGGAGCACTTAGAAATTTATTCTATGCAACTGACGCGGATAGAGATTTAATTAATAAGCAGCTCCCTAACAATACATCGGAAGTATACCTTTCGAAATATTTCCATCGTTATCGAGAAAAAAAAATCACCGCCTCCCGAAACTTATCAAAATATGCTCCAAAGAAAATTCTGTTGAATAGCACGATAATCGTTTCTTTCCCCAACCATACAGGTTTTTTTTTTTTTTTTTTAATTTTTGGAACCGATTTCAATCTATTCCAATAATTTTCGATCACAAATATATTCGCTTCTTTTGCAACTCACTGCCACTGTTGCACTTCTATAAATCATTTTTATATACCATCCACGTCGCTTAATTAGATGACAAAGCTTTTTTGCTCACAATAATTTCTTCAGAATGTTATATAAGGCCCCATATTTTGCATGTCATACGGTAATCTCTTCCTATCCCAAATCTTGCTACAATAAGCCCAGAAAATCCTAACTACCCGTCATAACAATTCCAGCCTGATAAAACAAGCCCAGCCTACTATGATAAGCTCAGGACACTTCTAACCCTTCGAAAGAAGTCAACGAGAAACTGAATAGTAGCTACCCGTGCGCAGAACGGAAAACCTCAGGTATTTGTGTCGGGGTGAAAGGCGGATTGGTCTGCGATGATTTACTGGGGGAGGATGTTTACTGGTTACGGAATGTGATACTGGAAAAAGCGGGACGCATTATGGGTTCAAGTTGGATCAATATGGAATGGATCGGGTTCGCGAACTGGTCTGTGACCTGCAAACCATTTAATTCGGGTTCATTTTATTTCGGATTTAATTCATATGAATCCAATTTCTTGTAGTATTTAGCTACTCTCAGTCCTACTCGCTCGTTATCATCGGATTAATCTTACATGTAATGGGATGTGTTTACAGGAATTGTTGTTCATCTGATTAAACATAACAATGATATGTACAATATTAGGGTGATATCATCTGTCAACTTTGACGCCGAAAATCAAGAAGTGGTGGAAAAATGGTTAAAATATGGATACAAAAGGATGAACAAGTAGAGAATGATGTTATTGCATTATCATTTCATTAATCATTTTCATACACCTTTTTCACATTTTTCACCGATGAAACCCAGTTGACACATACAGGTATAACTTGTCGATGTACCAATACAAAGTCCTTTGCCGTTACAATCTCTTGTTGAATCGCACGGAGCTGAAATCAATAATTTCTAAGCTTAAAAATATGAAGCCGGTAAAAAGTATGATCCATAGAGCACATTAGTTTTCTGAGTGGGGCGTGTTTTTTGTCACAGAGTAAATTTATCGAACAGAAGTATGATTTGCGCCAGGCCGTATTTTTAATCAGAATTGGAAGAAGAGCAGTTGTAACAACTAAAAATGTGAAACTGAGATGAGGAATGAAGTACAGAACAAATCAGTAGCAGTATTAATAGCAACTCATAGAAATTAATGTTTGAGATGAGAAGTGCTCATATCAATAATTGTGATTTTACGACAGCGAAGGAAAAATTAGAAATTGGAAGCAATCTAAAGGAATGATAATGGAACAAAGGGACGAACACTGCTCGCAATGCATTCCAGTATAGCCAATTTGGCAAATGCAAAAGTTTGTATCCTTGTTACCAATACATGTACCTCGATTGTTGCATATTTCATCTTCACAAATCTAAAATGTTAAAAATATTAAATAAAGCATTAAAATGAGTAGTATACAATGGTTGAAAATAAGAAATTAAGGAAAGGGAAAAGTTACTAAACTTTAGATGGTAATAGTAGTGATATAATGAAATTAAGAAATATTAACTTTTATTTGGAACATAATTCTCAAAATATCGACCGGAAGACTTATTACTTCATGTTTTAATATTGCAAAGGATTATCATGACATTGATCATCCAAATATGATCTCTACCTTAACTGTATGTATTATTTTTTTATTTTTATTTACATTTGCTAATATTTATTTCTCAATTTAAAATACTGATCCATAATGCATGTTAAATTTTGTTGGAATAGTTAAGGTATGAATGTAATGGAGATGATATATGATACAAAGTGATGAGAGCAGAGATCGAAGAGTAAAAGAATTCAGAAGGCATAATTAAAATGGGACACTGTAAATAAAATATGGTTCACCGTTTCCTCGTCGATTTTGATAAAGCTAGAAATTTTTGCTGGATCCTGCAAATTGTTTACCATATGTTAAGTATTCAGTCTGTTCCGTAATTATAATGCGGTATCAAAAAATCGTTTTTTGATAGTTAAAATTTTGCAGAAACTTGAATAACCGGATGAGGAATTGGAAATGCCGTATAAAGTGCTGTTGGAGGGTTTGGAAAATTTAAACAGGAGAGATATTTTAGGGGAATTATCACTCATTACCTCATCATTTGTTTTGGTCATCATTTTCTCCATTTCCTCCGATTTTTTTCGTGCTTCATTCTGGAATTGTTAATAATGAACAATAATTATGCATTAGAAATGAAACTTTAGGTTTGAGTGTCTCCTTATTTTCCATTGTAAAATTTGCTTTTAGCAATAGTATCAATTACTAACTTCATTTCAAACTTAATCTTGATTCATTTCCAGATAGCTATAATTGCTTGCAGAATCGTTCTTCTTTTGCAAGTTGCATGCAAGATTTACACATTTTGAGCAGAGCTTACTTGAGGAAATGTAATGGTCCCGTCGAATAGGATAAACAATGTAATGAGAATCAAGCAATACAGCATTGTTACTTGGTTTTCACAAAAGAAAGTGAACAATACGACTGCGATTCAACCTAAATTGCGTTTCCTTTTCCTAAAATTAAATTTCCTCCATAATTCTAAAGAAAAAATTCTTGCCAGTACTTATTAGTAAATGATTTGAAAAGGACGTTAGCAATCATAATCAAAAAAAAGGCGATATTGCCACCTACCACAGAGATATTGCATCTATAAAGCAATAGGTTGTATCATCATGTTGTGATTTGACCTGGACGAATAATGACATATGATTGTGTGTTTTGTGGTTCGGAAATCATCCGTTCAGTCATGAACGAATACCGTCCCACTTTCGAGAATGAACCTTCATCATATTTCTTTCCCTGTCCTTCAGTTTTCTTTTTTCACCAATTACTACTGACCCTATTCTTCCACATTCTTGGCTGTTACACTTCAATTCACCCTGAATTTGGGACATTTGTTCATAAACGATTATCTTCACTGGACAGAAGCACTTCACAGATGACGACAAACAGTCAAGAAGATGTTATAATGCACTCAGTATAAACCAAGTTCGAAACTCTAATTCTCGGGATACTGGAAGAGGTGCCATTGACCTTAACATGAGATGAATGTTCCCTTTCTTTGAAATCTAAGAAATCCTACACTTATAATAAAAAAAAAAGAAAAAATCATCTAAAATCTTATTCGGGAAATGTCAAGTTGGTCGTTTAAAAATTAATAGGCTTTGGAAAAGATCATAAAGAAAGGAGGAAATCAAAAAGAATCAAATTTAAAAGTTTCCGAAAGCTTGAATCTTCGCAAGTTTCTAAATTCTGTCATAATTGGCCTGATTCAATTTATTCAAAGTAATTTCGGATTTACGGTGTTATTTCAAAGTACCATGCCTTTTCATCTCCAAATAATTTGGTCAGAATGTGTTTTTATTGAAACTATGAATCATCTCTATCAATCATATATTTCATG